TGGGGACAAGATCATGAAATCTTAACCCAGCAATTTTGATAAAGGCTTTTAAAATGGTCTATCCCCCACCTGTTCATCAAATATAGACAAGAACTTTTAATATATTCTCTTAATAATCTTTAGATTTACTGAAACATAACTCATGACGTATAATTTTTCTTTCATATTGTTTGTGTTTAGCATTTTAGCAGGTGTTATAAAGAAAAATTACAAAATATGTTTTATGTGTAAATATGACATTGGCTTGTTTAAAGTTCTTAAAAATTAATAGGATTAGTGAACAAATCTACTTGTTAGTTTTTAGAAATGAGAAAAACAAAACAAACAAACAAAAAGCAGCGTTAACTGAATTAAGCCATTTCTTTGACAGGCAGAGCTGTCTTGGAAATGAGTTCCTTTGTATCTTCATAATAATTTGGTACGTCTGGATAGTCATCTGGGAAACGTAGCTGGTCGTTGTGGGAGGAAGAAAGCCTCTTAAATGACAGGCGTGGATGGAAAGCCCGCCACATTTGCTGGCTGTCATAGAACAGCTCCCCTGAATATGAAGCTATTGTTATGCACAAGCCAGGACCACAAATCTCCAAGAGACCTGGAGACAAGAGGCTCGACAATTTGCCTCTTGTCTTTTATATGGCCTTTTAGGACTATAATAGTTTCAAAGAAAAGATTCATCAAACTTCAAAGTGGCACATATATGTGGTATACCACCAAATTCCCTTGGTAAATAATACCACTTTCCATAAAGGCCACCCTTCTTGCCTTTTAAAACAAAAACAAATGATTGGTATGTTCATAAAATTCAGGAATCAATACATCTATGAAAACTATGTATCTTTTTCAAATTGGAAAATAAAATAATCACCTACAGTATTTCCTATTGTGCAAAAATAATGTATTAACCAGCAATCCACTAATGGCTTCATGGGTAAGACAAAAGGCAAGCAAGCCCAGGCATGATCTTTCTAAAGTCTCCCTCTTTTGTTCTATTTCTTTTAGTTCAATGCTCTGCCACACTTAAATGGTGAGTTCTCGTCTTTTTCTATTAGAAGAAAATTGCTTTGATTAATACAGATCAGTTTGGCATATCCCATTCCCTAAAATCAAAGCTTTTTCTGTCATACTAACATTGTTTCTCCTATCAAACTTCACTCTTCCTCCAAAAATGGCTCATACAGGCTCCACAATATTATAAGAAAAGGGCTGCCTCTTTTGTCAGCATTCAGAGTTTATCGCTTAACTTGTAGCCTCTTGTAGACAGTGATTTTCAGAAAAGATTTTATCTTCTTTGTAGATAAGACTGACACAAGTCTTATTCACATGCACTGACAGAGAATTCTTAGGCTGAAGAAAGAC